CGTTTTTAAACATTTCTCCTCTAATAGAACAAGAGATAAGAAACTGACCTACACCTTCGATTTTGTGAAGTGTTCGAACAGGTTTACCTCTTCTTGCATGGTTGAACAAATCTTCTATCTCAGGGATTGATTCCTTGCTCTCACAGAAGTAGTGGCCTATCATGAAGTCCTTGCAAGCTCTGGCAAAGGTGATTCCTTCAGGCAAATTTCGAACTACATCATTGAATTCGTCGAGCTTCTCTTTGCTGATTTTGTTGGTGTAGTGGCTGCAGTCTTCGGGCTTTTTGAGGTGAATCGCATAGACAGCTGCTTCTGGTGTTGTCATGCATCGAGCTCTCAGAAAGTATCTATGGATCCTTTTTAGACTCCTTGCAGTACCTGAACAAGACTTGCAAACGACCAAGCTTCCAAATTTCATCAAAGCTTAGGTGAGCAGGGAATGACCTGACTACGTTGTTGAACTCCATTAGCTTCTCTCTACTGATGTTGTTTGTGATCCATTGAATTTCTCCTGAATTGTCCTCTGAGCAATATCCTGCGTTTGGATCTTCTACAAACAACCCATACTCTTCATCTTCAGAGTATTGCTCTTCATACTCATCTTCACAAGACAAAGCCATGTTGCAGGACCATGACTTGTCCTTGTCTTCAGATCTTTGGGTGCTGATGGAGCAAACCAGTTGTTGATGGAGTGGTTAGTCATCCCAGGAGGTGTATCAGACGTACAGATGCTTGTATGAGTCGAACGGGACTGTTTTGGAACGTTTTTCCGGTTGGCCTTGACTGCAGGTGACGCGACCGCGGGAAAACGACCATAGGCCACGGGTAGACCTAACACGATCGCGGGGAGGGGCTTCTTGGCCGCGGTCGGAGGTGACGCGACCGCGGGGAAGTGTCTCCGAGTTGATCTGCTGCTGTTGCTTGCTCCTTTGCTTCCTGGATCGTCTCCTGGGTCTTCTGGTTTGATGTACTTCCTCTCTGGACTTGAGTCTTTAGTTTTGGTTGCTGGAATCTGCTCTCCAAGTCCTTGTATGATCTCCTCAACCTTTTCTTCAACCTCATCAAGAGCATAGACTACTTTGTCCATGGTTGAGTCAAGCTCTTTGGTTTTGTCAATGACTTTGTAAACCTTCTCTGAAACTTCGACTGTGAAGTCATAAGACTCGTTCTTAGCTTCGTTTAGGGCTTTGTCCACATCATCAAGTTTGAAATCCAGGTCCATGACTTTTTTTTTGGTGTTGCGAAGCTCATAGGTGTGCTTTGCTTGCTCCTCCTCCATGCTGTTGAACTTGTTAGCGATCATGGCTGCGTCCTTGGTTGCTCTTTCTTCTATTGAATTGACTTGTGAGGCTAGGTTATCGATCTTCTCATTGAAAAGTTTTGATATCACGTCAATCTTTTCGTTTAGAGCGGCTGTAGCGGTTGCTCGAGCCTCTATGAACTGCCTGATCACACCTTCGAGCTGGCTCAATCGGTTGCTGAGCAGGACGTTCTCATCACGGTGGAGGACCTGGTGAGGTAGGCGATACATAGGATATCTAGGGTTTGCCATTGGAGGTACGTAGGGCTCGTTCTGGAACGTTCTGTAGTCTTCGGTTTGAATTTCTTCGTAGAGATCGTGTAAGTACTGCTTCTCTCTGCGTCTGGTGGCTTGAGGAGTGTTATAGAAACCTTCCTCATAGTGTGTATTTCGATTTATAGGATCCATATCTTCTGAAATGGAAACAAAATAACCGAAAAATGGAAATAAGCAGAAAAGGGGTTCTAGAGTCGATTTACCAACCTTTCTTGGGGTTTTGCGGAAAACAAAATGCGTGCCTTCCCTGGCAACGGCGCCAAAAACTTGATGTGGGTGTCGGTGTGGTGTTGAGGGTTGTCAATTTTTACCCTAAATGAAATCAATAGCCGCAAGTGCACAGCTGATCGATTGTAGTACTTAGGGATCGAATCCACAGGGAAGGAGGATCTTTCCTGCAAAAGCCTTCGAAAGAAATATAAAGTAAGGAAGTCTAGAACCAAACGGTTTTGTGGGGGTTTTGGTGGTGTGTTTAATATGTAAAAACGAATCTTAAAGAGAAGATACGGGAATTAAAATGACCTAATAACTAAACTTAACGAAAACAGGTAAAAACGGGAAAAACGGCTAATCTAATTGCTTAAATGAAAATCGACTAAAAAAGAATGAGAATATTGAACTAAAGCTTGAAATAAAAACGGTGTGAATCTATAAGAAAGAAAGCATTGGGCTTCAGGGAAGTTTTCTCAGGGGTACGAACGATTCAAAACATTGCTAGAGAGTAAAATTGATAAGATCTTAGCTTAAACTTTTCGAACTGGAGTCACGGACGTATGAATACGCCATTGTCGTGATCATAGACAACTATCTCTCTCAACCCTGACCAGTAGGTTTCCACTCTGGCCCAGGAAAAGAAGAGATGCATTATCTTTAAGACTCGTCAGCATTCACAAATCGTCCATAGGTAGGTTTCCACTCCTATGTTTGTTTTGCTCTCCAAAACTAGATCTGATGAACACTTTCGTGTCACCAAGCATCTGGATTAGATTGTAGTTCATGACGCTACTCTCATGCAGTAAAAACGAATTCAGAAGAAAAAGTTCTAAGATTCGGCTCAAAAGCTCATGGAATCCTCATCGAACATATAAACCCCCATCGAAAATTTCTTAATCCCAACAATAAACTACTCAGACATGATGAACGAAATCCAAAACATAGTATTAAAAAGTAGAATAGAAACCGAAATTGAAAAAGAAAGAACAAGGGTTCAAGAGACAAATCTCTCTCTCCCTAAAACCTAAAACTTAAAAAGTATTCTAAAGCAATAAGAACATATGAAGGCATCGTACGAATTAGGGTTCCTAAGACATGTATTTATTGTGCTCAAGACATCTCTAGGCGTCATTTAGGGTTTCCCCAAATGAAGGAATTATTTTAGGCTTCAGAAATGGGCCTTCGGACTCGGAGGTAGTTGGCCGCGGTCGGGATGGCTGTGACCGCGGGGAATGGGTTGCTGGCCGCGGTCGCGGTGCTTCTGACCGCAGGAAATGCTCTGTTGGCCGCGGGTGGAAACGCTCGCCGGTTGGTTTATGGGACATCTTGCTCTTCGCGTATCTTTGGATTGAACCGTTGGATTGCCAAGCTGTAAAGTGTGCTGGAAAGATGATACTTCCATCTTTAAGATCTCCAAATTTGAGCTGGATTAGACGGTGAGAAGGCCTTTAATCAGGGGTGAACTTCTGACGGTTTGACTTTGAGCTGAAATCTGGTTTTCTATCCATTTTGTTAAGCTTTTCCCTAAGTTACCTGAAAAGAGTCTTGGAACTACAAATACTAGATAAACGTAATAAAAGTACTTAAAAGCAATTAAAAGCATAGAAAAAGTATTTCAAAATGATCCATAAAAGTGGTCAAAATACGGTGTTATCAATTCTCAGGAAGAACAAATCGAGACCTAGGCAACAAGCGCTATCGAAATCCATTTATCTTCGAGAAGCCCTTGTTTATTATCCCGCTGAAACACATATCCATGGAATATGTCATATTCACAAGTGAATTTCTGCTTTCTTTTCCTTGTTGGTATCCAGATTCATCAAATTGAGTGTATAAGTGCATCCATCTCATTCGTCTTCGACTATCATATTGTGCAGTATGATACATGCTCTCATAATTTTCCTATTTTTTCTTTGTCCCATATAAGAGCTGGGGTTTTTACGATTGCAAATCGAGCTTGCAAAAGCACGCTCAACATCTTTTCTGGTGGATTCCTGACATGTTGCAAATAATGTTGCTTTCGGCCCCTGAGGAAGAGGAATAGATTTTATAAAAGTTTTCCATTTTGGATAAATACCGTCTGTGAGGTAGTACGCCATATGATATTTGTGTTTGTTGACCAAGTAATTCACTTTTGGAGCTCGTCCTTGTAATATATCATCAAAAAGGGGTGAACGATCAAGAACATTGATATCGTTTAAAGATCTTGTGACGCTACAGCCTCTAAGACGATTGTCGGTTTTCCTGAGCCACATGTATATTGCCTTTTCTAAGCGGTAGGACAATTTTTCAACTCCCAATGCATACAATCAATGCTTTCTATCATCCCGGGAAATCCCCGTATCTCTCCAATATTGACTAGTCGCTGAAGATCTTCTGGTGTCGGTCTTCTTAAGTACTCATCTCCAAACAAATGTATTACTCCTTCTACAAATTTCTCCAAGCATTTAATTGCAGTACTTTCACCAAATCGGAGGTATTCGCCAACCGCATCAGCCGCACAACCATATGCCATCATACGAATTGCTGCTGTACACTTTTGTAGTCCATATAAACTAATTCTTCCAACAGCATTTCTTTTGTTGAAAGTATGGAACATCTTGGAAGACTCGATCAACAATCTGCATGAACAAGGGCATGTTCATTCTAAAACGGCGTCGAAATATATGTGGAGGGTATGTAGCATCCTCACTAAAACAGTCGTTTCATAAGCGGTTGTGGCCTTCTCCATGCTGTCTTTCTATATATGCTCGTTTCTTCTTTTGCTTTCTTGCGGCTTGCCGATCCAGAACAGCATCGAACATATTGTCAAAATGTTGATCAAAAACTTCATCAAAATTTTCGTCAAGCGATCCATCATCAGAATTGTTGTTTGAAGAAGATGCCATACTTGTGAAGTTTGTATAAAAAAAAAAACAAAAGATGATTTGGAGTTTGATAGTTTGTTTTTAAAAAATAACGAAAAGATGATTTGATACATGATCTCCTCCAATTTCAGGATGTCTGCTAAAAGATTGTGCTGACCCCTCTTCAACCTTCCTTCTTTTCGAACTTGAACAACCTTTAACCTTAGAAGCCGAGCACCACTTCTGGTCATGCCTTAACTCACGCCATGCATGATCAAGTGTGAACTTCATGTTGTAATCGTTCATAAATATGTCATGCGCTGCTTTCATCACGTCATCCTCATTTTGGCCGCTTGCTTGATTCTTCAGAGCAGCCTCGTAGCATCCCACCTCTGCTTCACATGACTAAGCTCTCTGTTTTGCAATCCTACAAGCTGCGGACTAGCGTTGAAGTAATCTTGAATCCTCTTCCAAAAAGCACCAGCTTTTTGCTCATTCCCTGTCATCGGATCCTTGGAGGTGTTAAGCCAAGCGCTGATCAAAACCACATCCTCCTTCGGTGACCATTGCCTTCTTTCCCTGCGCTTCTTTGTATCTTTGGTGACCATTGGATCATCAGAAGTTTGGCTACTTAAGAGAGGCATTTCTGATGATCCAAGGTCTACACATGGCGAGAGACTCTCATTAACTAGTTCACTAGTTAAGAGGTTAACAAAGCCATGCGAGTTACTATAGGGATCTGTAGAATCCATTTCATAGTCTAGTGTTTAGTGTTTAGAAGTTTTAGTGGTTAGCAGAATAAGGAAAGAGTTTGTGTTTACATGAAAGAAGTTTTCATGAAAGAAGTTTTAGTGTTTAGCAAAATAAGGAAAGAGTTTAGTGTTTACATGAAAGAAGTTTCAGAACAAGGAAGTGTTTGTGTTTTTGATGAAGTGTTTTTACCGAGTCTGTGTATGTTTTAAATAGCAGAATGTGTATAGTGTTTTTTACCAAACAAGCATTCATGGCCAACAAGACCTTTACCTAACAAATCTACAAGCATTGATCATTTCTTAAATCTAACAAAGCTAACAAGACCTTTACCTAACAAAGCTAAAAGCAAACCCAAAGCATTTATCACAAAGGTAACCAGTATTTATCACAAATCCTATCTAACATAACCTAATCGACTACAAACTACAGTTGCAAACAGGAGTGAGGAAATGATTTACCTTGTGTCTTAGCTGAAAAGGATTAGGTTTGGGCTTGAAAGAGCAGCTGTAAAGAGGTCCTCCATTTAACCTCACATAAACGATGTCAAGTTAGAATAATCTAAATGAACCAAGCATTTATCACAACAATCTTGCCCTTTAACTCGTTCACCTAACAAACTACTAACAAGCATTTATCACAACCAAGTCTTTCGGCAATTAAACTGATAGTTAACCGATTACAAGTATAAGCAACATGACCTTTAACTCTTTCACCAACTAAACTAGTGAACAAAAACCAAACCGATTACAAGTATAAGCAGAAATAGGTCGATCCAAAACAAGAACAAACACCAAACCGATATTCAACATGCTCCATCTTAAACAAACTCATCTTCAACATGCCTGATCCAAAACAAGAACAAACACCAATCCGATTATTCACACTGATATATCACAGAAAATGAAGTTGAGAAAGAGACTGAAAACTGAACAAATTCGACAACAAAAACTAAGCAGTTGCGAGACAGTTTTAACTACAGAGGAACTCAGACAACCAAATTTGTTAACCAAATAAAGTCAATTCAAAAAAACCCTATACGGATACTCGAGGGTCCAATTTTCGGATATAAACCCTAAAGCACCAAGAATGCAAAATTCACAAAAGCAACTTGGAAATTTCAGATTTTAACCCAATGCTGATACTGGATTTATCTCCAATTCGCAATTTAAACTCGAAAATTCACAAAAAAACCCTAAAAACATATTACCTTCTATTAATGCTCCGACGATTTGGTGATCCATCACCGATCAATTTGCTCCTCCATCAGCGATGCTGCTCCATCGATTTCCTCCTCCATCACCGATCGATCAGCTGCTTCCACACCGCTCATTTATCGACTCTCCAAATCGTCGACCATTTTCATTTCCCTTTCATCGACTCTTCTACTTTCCTTTGACGAAGAATGGACCAAATTCACATACAAAGAGGTTGGGCTTTTTTCACAAATGGGCCATAGCCGATTTTAAGCTCAAAAACAAAAAAATACTCCACCAATGCAGGCATGACATGTTTTTAAATATTCTCATATTTGGGGTTTTCCACATCATCCTAACAACCCGGGTTGTTAAGGTTTTAAGCTTTTCTTAATTATTTTTATTAGCTACATTATCTTAGAACTTCTTAACATCTCTGTGATGGAGATGGTCTTATTTGCATACCCAAAACAAATAACCGAAACAACTAAGACCACCTCCATCCCTCATATCCATAGTGGTTCTTAGACATAAACTACCATTAAAAATAAAAATAAACAATTTAAGAACTGATTGCTAGAATCTTAATATAAAGATTTATCTTTAAAGAGTTTGAAAGACAGATGTCTGTTTTTTATTGGTTTGGAGAAAGAGTAAGACAGGTGTTTGATTTTTATTGGTTTGGGGAAGGAATCCTTAACTTTTTCTTATTCACAAATTTATTATTAAAAAATTTTAAAAACCCCATAAAGTATGAGGGATGGAGATGCTCTAAGAAACCAAATTTCATTATTAGTGGAAGTTAAAAAAGCTAAGAGACTGCATGGCAAATTGATCTTCAGAATTGTGAGGACTTTAAAATAAATTAAAATCTAATTTAACTATTTTTTCTCTTTTTTGCATATGGTTCAGCAGTTTTCAAAAAAAAATTATCAAATTTGACTTTTATTTTTTGAAAGTCACAATTATTTTTAAAGTAAAATTTTTTAAAACTAAAAACAAATTAAAATTTACAGCCAAAAGTGCTTTACAAACAATCTTTTAAAAGCATGAACATCGTGGGTTTCCACCGCGTCTCCTATTAATTAAAAATTTTTTTTAATACAAACGCGTCTCTCAAAATAGTTGAGACGTCGCTTAAAATAAAACCGTAAGAGACGGTATTGACAGACACGTGGACTTATGTGATTGGCAATTGAATTTGGTGGAAATTTTTTTTTCCTTTCCTTCCTCTTTTTCCCGACACAATTTTACTTCGTCTTCTCCGTCAAAAACGTCGAAGGCGACGACGACCTTTTGGTGGCGAATCTCTGCGGCATCGTCGACATCGTTGGGAGGCCAACAGCAGAGGATCGAGACGCCGACGTAAGCCATCTTCTCTTTCCCTTCTGTCCTCTGTTTTTTCCGTCAAAATCAATCGGTTCTGAATCAGTTGATTTTTGATCGGTTCGGGAATTCTATCTTCATCTGTTCGGGTTTTCGATTCTTTCTTCTTCTGAATTGTTTAGGGATCGAATCGGATGATTATTTGATTTATGGGTTTCAATCGGTTTGACTAATTTAGGGTTTTCGATTCTTTCTTCTTCTGAACTGTTTAGGCAATCAACTCTATGATTATTTGATGTGAGGTTATTTGACTCGTGGTTTTGATTAGTGGGTATGATATAGGGTTCTGATCGAGTGTATTGACTTCATATCTTATGAATTGAATTGTTTGTTGTATATATGATTTTCTTAATTCAATCGGTGATGTAGCAATATGGTTTTGTGTTTGTGTAAGTGTCAATAAGACAATGTTTGCTTGAGATTGAGATTGTTTGCTTTGATTCAGATTGTTTGTTTGTTGAGCTTCTCTGATTTTGTACATGCATCAATCGGTTGCATTTTTGGAACTAAATTTGGTATTTGGTTTTCTTTCAATGCAGCTTAAGGCTATACATCTAAATAGGCGAGACAGGTGAAACTGGTGGAGCATTAAAGCAGAAGACAGAAGTAATTCCTGGTAAGCAACCTTCAAACCCTTATTAATAGGCTTTAGCATAAAAATGTAGCTTTGTAGTTGGTAATGTAATAAAGGTTTGTTCATTTTAGGGAGATTTGTAGTTGGTAATGGTATTAATGGCTGGGTTTAGATAGGTTTGAATGCTTCTGTTTAGAGACCTTTATGTCTCGTCCATGTTAGTTGGAGTTCAATGCTTCTTCTTGTTTGCTTTTAAGGTTAAGAGACCTTTATGTCTCATCGATGTTAGTTGGAGTTCAATGCTTCAACTTGATTGCTTTTAAGGTTAAGAGAACTTTATGTCTTTGTTGTTTGCTTTGAATGCCTTCTTTCCATTTTAGTTTTTAACAGCTCTTTGCTCCTCTTTAAAACCCGATCCTTCTTCTGATTTATTTCATGTCCCAAAAAACCCTGCATCTCTTTCATTCCTTCTTTTCTACCTTTCTTCAAAACCTTTTCATTCCTTCACTTCCATTCCCTTTTAATGGATATGTCTTCGGCATATCCATATGCTCAACCCACTAACTTTGTTGACTTGTTGAATAGTCAACAAGACACTCCCCTTATTGATTCCTTTGCTTCACTCGAGCCATTTCCAAGCTTCAGCACGCAGACTACACCTCAAGAGCGAAAGGAGAGAGCTGCTTGGCACCCAAGCGACGATGTCTTACTGATCAGTTCCTGGTTAAATACCAGTAAAGATTCAGTAGTTGGCAACGAGCAGAAGAGTGGTGCTTTCTGGCAGAGGGTAGCGGACTCTTATGCTGGAAGTCCAAATGCAGAGGGTCGTGTACCGAGAACGGCAAGCCAGTGCAAGCATAGGTGGCACAAGATCAATGATCTTGTGTGTAAGTTCTCCGGTGCATATGACTCTGCAATAAGGGAGAAGACCAGCGGCATGAACGAGAACGACGTCCTGAAGCTTGCTCACCAGATTTTCTTCACTAACCACAAGAAGAAATTTAACCTTGAATACGCCTGGAAGGAACTGCGGAATGACCAAAAGTGGTGTGATCTTTCCAACACAAAAGGTAATGAAGCGAGCAAAAAGAGAAGAACCAATGTGATGGAGACTGAAGAGATGGAGACTGTCGAAAATGATGGTTCATGCTCTCGTCCTATTGGTGTGAAGGCTGCAAAAGCCAAAGGAAAAAAAACTACTACTGAAGGAAACCATGTGGCTCAAACTATTGCAGACTTTCAAAAGGTGTTGGACGTTTTTGCATCAGAAGTCAGCACAAAACAACAACGGTTTATCACAAGTTGTGTTTAGTCGGCACAAAACAACAACACGATTTTTTATGATTGTAAAATATGGTGCATTTTGAGACCACAAGAATTCTGCTTTATTTTGCATGCACAAAATGCAAAGTGGACTCTTGTATATATAATTTCTACACCATTTGGTGATACCTCAACACAACACAACGCTTTCCTTTCTCAATTATTTTTGTCAATCAAGCAATTCTCTTTTTCTCTTTCAAGCATTCCTCTTGTACTTCTTCTTTTTCTTTCTAAACGATATCCACTTAAACAAAAAAAAAGCAATGGCTTCATCTTCGAATCATAATGGTGATAAATCAGTTGATGAATATCTTGATCAGCAAGGTGATCACTTATTTGATCAATTTTTTAATCACACTTTTCAGAATCTGTTCGTTGACTACGGACATCAGCAAGAGGCAACCAATTCAAGGAAAAAAAGAGATTTCATTGAAAGAAACCGGGAAGAAGGCCATATACGTTTATGGAATGCTTACTTCAGTGAGAATGCTACATTTCCGGATTATCTATTCCGACGCCGATTTAGGATGAATAAGTCATTGTTCATGAAGATTGGTGATTGACTAACTAATGAAGTTCGATACTTTCGACAGAAGAAATACGCTCTCGGAAGGCCTGGTCTCTCCGGACTTCAGATATGTACATCAGCAATCCGTCTTTTGGCATACGGAACTGCGGCTGATTCAGTAGATGAATACCTCCGCATTGGTGCTACTTCTGCTCGGAACTGTTTGGAAAATTTTGTCGAAGCAATCATAAACTTATTTGGTGATGAATACTTGAGAAGACCCACACCAGAGGATCTTCAACGGTTACTTGATTATGGAGAGTACCGCGGATTTCCCGGAATGGTAGGAAGCATCGACTGTATGCACTGGGAGTGGAAGAATTGCCCTACCGCGTGGAAGGGGCAATATTCACGTGGTTCAGACAAACCCACAATCGTTTTAGAGTCTGTAGCATCATATGACCTGTGGATATGACATGCGTTTTTTGGACCTCCAGGTACCTTAAACGATATCAATGTCCTTGATCGCTCACATGTGTTTGATGATATAATTCAGGGAAAACCTCCACAAGTGAATTTTTCTATAAACGGAAGGGAGTATGATTTGGCATACTATCTGACAGATGGTATTTATCCGAAATGGGCGACAGTTATCCAATCTATTCCAATTCCACAAGACCCGAAAGCATGTTTATTTGCAGAAAAACAGGAAGCTGCTCGAAAAGATGTCGAACGTGCTTTTGGTGTCTTGCAATCTCGGTTTGCCATTATCAAAAAACCCGCTCTGTTTTGGGATAAGGCAAAAATATGAAAGATTATGAGAGCTTGTATCATACTCTACAACATGATCGTAGAAGATGAAAGAGATGGATACGCACTCTCAACTGTTTCAGAATTCCAGCACGGAGAAGGAAGCGAAAGTGCAACTGTGATCTCGCATATGAAACAGATACTTCAAATCTTGAGAATAGTATGTTTGCTAGAACAAAACTTCGTGATAGACGACAACATGAGAAACTGAAAGCCAATTTAATGGAGAATATCTGGCAAAAATTTGGACATTACTAAAATGCCAACTCAAGTTTGTATCAAAATTTATGTTTTATTTCTTTTTATGTTCTTGTCTTAATCTTTGTAATGAAATAATTATCTTCTTATGAGTAAAATGTTCTTTTTTTAAACAACCCCAAAGGGTCTCTACAATGTTCAATCAAAATACATGGGTCTCTTATATGGGTATTCAGCTAAACTATATTATTAAAATACTACTTAAGAGACTCTAATGAGTCTCTGCAATGTTCATGGTCTAAGTCTCAATAAATCTTTTGGTTTGCCTTCAATTAAGTCTAAAGTAAATGCACTACATAGCCCTGTTCCTGTTCATAATTTGCAGAACCGATAAATAACCTATTTGGACACTGTGCACATTTCCAATATGGCACCTTTACCCCTATCACCCTATGGAAGACTAATCGAGCATGCATAATATGGCGAAGATATTTTGTCGGTGGAAATATATTATTTTAATATATGATAGAGTGATAATCAAATAAATTTTCAAAATTCAAAATAAAATTATGTTGAGGTTCCGATACATACATGATTATTGGGATATTCACAATATTAAACGATTCTTGGTTATATCGTTTAGGGTATGTTCCTTCTTAGACTCCGTTAAATAACATATTAGAGATATATTTAAATGTTAATACCATCCAACAAATATTTTAACATATCCATATAATATATAGCTGGATGATATATGATGGTTATCTTTGAATCCGAAAGCTGCACCCACTTCAAATTATCTTTGAATTTTGAATTAAGTTTTTAAAATGAGTGTTAGATTGCTAATATATTTTATAGAGGATTACAATTTATTTACTATACCATATAAATGTTTTGATATATCTCTAATATTCTACTTAATATGTTAACTATATTATTACATAAAATAGATTTAAATTAATATTCAATAAGCCAAATATAGCAACTGAAATTAAGCACTCTTACAAATTATATAGTTTTATAATATGTTATGTAATTGTATAACTTATATGTTAACATGTATGAGATTATAAGAACGCGATAAAGAATTATTTAGACTGCTAAAGTTTATTGTAGCTGTATAACATATATGTTAACGTGTTCTGATATAATCAGTTAATGAACCAAATATAGCAATTCAGATGTGTCAAATAATGTAGAAATCTTTTTTATTTTTATTTTTAAGAATACAGAAACTTATCATGCTAATAAAATATGTAATTTGATAAAAGGTTATGTAATTATATAACTCATATGTTAAGTAAAGAAGAACGATGAGAGAAAAATTTCATTAAAAAAAAACTCGTTACAAAAGAAAAAAGGGGTAAAAAGTAATAATACTCTCGAAAGTGTAGGACCAATGTCATACCAATTCACTATTTTTGATTTTTTTGTCAATTTTGAACAGTATTAGGATTTTCTAGCAAATTAACTTTTAAGTCTATCTCAAAACAAGGTCAAACCAATTAACTGAAAAGCAAATAAAAACATCCAATTTAAACAACTGTATCCTGCTTCACCACTTTCACATCCTTCGTTCATCGGTCTGTGCAGTAAAAGAGTTTTCTTCCGACAAAGATAACAATTCTCCAGTTCTGACTGGTTTATTGCTTCCACCGCAACAACCATCGCAAACGCCCAACAACCTCCTATTTATCAACGGACAATCTCACACAGCTGAAATCGCAATCAAAAATCAAAATAATGCTAAGAAATTTGAAAATCATAACATCAGTCAAATTGATTTTGGTTTTTGACTCATGGAAGAGCTGCTCCTTCTTTCCTCCCGTTGACTTCATCAGGCAAAATATCTCCTTCCTCGTACTGACACCTCTCTCCTTCACCTGATGATACGCTTGATCTTTCCATCTTCTCCCCACAGTAAATAGCTTGAAACTCATCATTTGTCAGGTCCGCAAACATATTCAACCCGAGTTTGTAAGTCTTGTCCGGAACTGAATTGTGTTCTTGGATGTACTTGAAGTTGTCTTTGAAGACCTTGAATCGTCTCTCTTTCTCTCCAAGACCATTATAATTCTTCCCATTCTCCACAAGCCATTGCTCGTACATCGGCCACACCTCATCGGCTACTCCCACTGGGTCTGCAACCCTCGGTTCTTGCTCAGCGTTAGTCCCATTCATGCTTCCTATCGAAGCCTCGGGACTCTCATCCTGGATCACACGGTTGGTTGCTGGTGCTCTCCTTGGTAGCATCCTGATCAAGAAAACAGACGGTTAGATTATTCCACATCTAGACAAAACATATGAATTCCAAATATTACAAATTGAGCTATTCCCGTTGTTCTCTAAGTACTACATTTTCCTTTCATTCCCCTTCCTATTCTCTTTTTAAATTTCCCTTTTTTTATATATAATTTTTTAATATATGTAAAATCCAAGAATTAACCATATAAATCCGACAATTTTTTTTTTAATCCGAGAAATACTTTACGACTCGCATGTTCACCGATTCCTTATCCCCACAACGTGCCCATAGCACCAATCTTACTTATCTCATTTCAAAATTGCATAACAACAACAATTTATCATGGTCTTTCGATAATATCCTATTTCGTTTTCATTTCATATATGTGGACAAATATCTATACCACAAGCCGCATAACTCAAACAAAGATCATAGTTTATATATTATATATACTTCACGATTCGATATTAAACTTAGACTCAACGTTAGACGAGAGGTTATAAAACATTACGGGAAAACACGACTCGTTCCTCACCTCTGCCTTAGATTCGATGAAACTCGGCAACGAAGAATGATGATATACGCTACTCCCAACACTCACACCGTCACGATCTACTGCATGAAGTTAAGGTTTTAGACGGTTACTTGTAACGCAAGCAAGCGGAGAGTCGGAAACATACGACGACGAATGTGAACGGAAGGATGTGGAGACGGCGGCGGCGGCGGTTACCTCACGGTGGTGGCGAGCGAGTGACTGTGAGGAGCAAGGCGGCGGTGAGGATCGTGACGCACACGCACACAGACGACGACGACGAACGAACGAACGAACGATGAAGAGGAAGACGACGTCGAAGGACGAGAGATGGCGGTGTAGAAACAGAGATACGACGAGGCGATGGCGGCTAGACGGGGGAGATGCATACACAATATACGTATATATAGAAGACGAAACGTTTGGGCTTTTGGGCTTAAGAAATTTCTGGCCCATTTTCTTTAAATCAGGATATTAGAGTACGCTCATTGGTTTAGACTAGAGCATGATTAATGGAAGAACCCTTAGTTAATTTATAATGTTGGATTAAGCTATACTATCAACTAAGCATTTGATAATCAATGACAAGCTAGTGATACTTTTTTAAGTATATAATATATATATATATATTTTGTAGAATACCCCAATAGATAGATATACCGATTCCCCAAGCAATGAACATACAAAAGCTAGCTAGCACTCTTTTGGTTCAAGGGAACATTGAGACAAACCGCTGCAATAGTCGAAGGAGAAAATATTGTTCGTAGATTGATTTTCTCAGGAACATACTTATTGCTTGATCTTGCTACAAGTTCCAAACTGCCACATACGCAATTCTCACCAAAATCCTTTTTTAAAGCATAAATTGTTTGCAAGAGTATCAAAAGGAAAGGTTGTAACTGAGTGAGACCTGCTCCTCAACGTGTTTGGGAGGAATCAGTGGCATTGTAGAGGAGGTACCGATTATTGGTGTTTCCCTGCCCGGATTTGCTAGCATTCTCATAAGATTGTATACATAAGTCCATATGTAAATGGCTCCAACCTAATAATATACATGACAAAAACGTTTTGGACTTCTATTAGCATTGGAAGAAGAAGACGAAGAAAAAGAAAAAGAAGAAGAAGAAGAAGAAGAAAAAGAAAAAGAAGAAGAAGAAGAAGAAGAAGCAATTAACAAAATGGCTCTGACATACCGCTATTAAGAGTGCAATACTACCTAAACCATATTTCTCACAAGTCTCAGGATCTCCAAAAGGACTTCCCTTCTCATTGCAGAAACGAGCCAATGATGAATGTGAGCAGAACTGGTATCGACGAGGTTATGAAAAGATCCAAAAGCTTCATCTTACTGTTGAGTAATGCAATTTTAGTTTCAAACCAAACCAGTTGGAATCCAAAGAAATTGTTAGAACAGTAAAAGCAGAAAGTATTGTTAAGCTATGTTGTTTAGAGTCTAAGTAAGGTTAGTGGGCATAGTTGAAGTTAGGTGAATGTCAGAGAATAGTTTTTGTCTTTTGTATGTATAAGTCAATGAGAAAACAATGTAAGAGACGATGATCATTTGAAATGAAGTATGAGTTTTTGAATTCATATTATCTCTAAAACATCGATCTCTTTATATGAAAACTATGTCAAGATACAAGCTACAAATTCTCTGTTTCTGAGCATCTCAACATGGTATCAGAGCTCATGATGATTCATGGAGACTCTTTGAACAAGACGAAGATTGCGGATCAAGAAGGTCCGACAATGCAGAAAACAAAAGTCAGAGAAACCTGTGGGAAAGGTTCAAGAAACTGACATGAACAAGATGGTGATTGAAGAAGAAGAAAATAATGCAGGCGTGATGAAAAGGAGGAGAATCACATGTTCACTGCAAGACAAGAAGAAGAAGAATCAAGTAAAGAAAATACTTGGCTCGTAGAAATTGGATGTACAAATCACATGACACCAAATAGGAACATGTTTGTCAAAATCAACACAAACATTAAAGTTCCTATTGGAAATGGAGCTGTGGTAATGGCAGAAGGAAAAGGAGACATCGAGGTGACAACCAAGCAGGGAAAGAGAATCATAAAAGATGTTTTTTAGTACCCAAACTTAGAAAGAATCTTCTAAATGTTCTGCAGATGATCACAAATGGATACAAAGTCATCTTTCAAGGAAGCAACTGCACCATTCACGACAGATCTGGGAGGAAAATAGGTGAAGTTCCTATGGTGAAAAAGATTTTTCACATCATGGCACTCAAATGAAGAACCTGCAATGGTGGCTACAGAAAGAAGAGCTGTGGCACAAAAGACTCGGACACACAGGATATACAGACCTGAAGATTATGCAGTCAAAAGGTATAGTCACCGGCTTACCTAAATTCAAAATAACTCAAGATTGATGTGAAAGTTGGATTCCCAGAAAACACAGCCGAGATTCATTTCCAAAAGAATCTGATTCAAGAGCAACTCAGAAGTTAGAGCTAATTCACAGTGACTTGTGTGGACCGATGTAAAACACCTCTTTCAGTGGTAGCAGGTATGTGCTCACTTTCATTGATGATGCTACTAGAATGGTGTGGGTTTACTTCTTAAAGGCTAAGTCTAACGTCTTCAAAACCTTTAAGAGATTCAAAAATCTGGTGGAGAATCAAGCTAACTGCAAAATCAAGACACTCAGAACCGACAGAGGCTCAGAGTACATGTCCGGTGAATTCACAAAGTTTCTTGAAGAAAATGGTGTTGAAAGGCAATTGACTGCTGCTTATTCACCACAGCAGAATGGAGTTTTGGAAAGAAGGAACAGAAGTTTGATAGAGATGGCTAGAACAATGGTTGATATATCATGGTTTTTATGGTTTTAAACCATGGTATAGGTCTTATTTATAGAGTCTTTTTAGTGTCTTTCGAGTCTTTTGGAGTCTTTACAGGTCTTAGGTACGTTTGAAGCTTAATTGGAGATTTTGGAGCACTTTGGAGCTAAACTAGGATCAAATTCATCAAGGATGGATTTTTAGTGTCGCTCGACACCATGGAGAGTGACACTTGTCAAAGAAATAAGGAAAAGGCGAATTTTGTTTCCTATTTGAAGAAGGAGTTGGGCCTAAACGTTTCCAAGGAAGCCCAAAACGTGTTTTAGAGATATATATAGGATTTTTATTCCCTTTTTATCGATACCTTAGATTTTTGAGAGAGAGATACTTTGAGTTTTCGGCTTTAGCGATTTTTGAGAGCTTGGGGAGACAAGTCTGAAACTCTGTTCGTTTAAAGAGAAGATTTTGAACCTTTTTATCTATTTTGATTTAATCTATTGCCTTCTATTCATCATGTTTGTTGTTCCAATAATCATGTCTGAGTAGATCACCTGTTAGGTTTAGGGTTAATTAGGGTTTTCTTTGAATGATTGATTAACTTGCTAATTAGGGTTCATATCTATTAGTTCTTCATCTTAGATTGTTCTTAATGCTAATTCTAGATTGATCACCTAGAACTTAGATCTTAGGTTGCTTAATTGACACGGAAGTGTAATTGAATAACTGGAAAGAACCTAGGGTGAGCAAAGTAGCTATTCGCAAAGGAATTTGGTTTAGATGCTTTGTGAACATATCGAACTTGTGCATTAAATCTGGTTTACATCTGTAGGATTTGCAAAGGAATTTGGAATTCTAAGATTTTAACTTAGATAATTCTCACAACGGAAGTTGGTTAATTATAAATCTGTGTTTCGAGTTCAAGAACCGTGCTTAAAACTGAATCCTGATTAGTTAAGTTGACCTGCATTCATTGATCTCCTAAAAAACGCCCTAGACCTAATCTTTATCAAATCGAACTTACAAATCGTTTTTATTGCTGCTTAATTTACTTCTGTCACATTGCCATTTAGTTTCAATATTTCTGCTTAGCGTAACTCAAACTCTATAAAGTTTATTGAGTGATCTCTTGTCTCTGTGGTTCGACCCCTACATACTACAACTGCACATCTGTGCTCTTGCAGAGTAGCTTAGGGATTAAACTTTGAGCAGATCAATTTATGGCGCTGTTGTCGGGGACTTGATTTCGCCATTAAACCTAGTTTTTGAGTTTCGACTAAGTTTTTCTTCTTAGTGTCGAGCGACACCAAGTGGTCACGCGACACCTTTCGCTTTTATAACCTAATTTGCTTATTTCGTTTTCTCTCTTTGTTTTTGGTGCTTCAGGTTTATGCATACTCGTGGAACCAGAAGCAACAAGGATATCCCGCTAGTAAATTTGAGCAACGAGGAGCTAGCTGAGTTAGAGCGAACGAACAGGAAAGCAAAAGATCCGGCAATGATGGAAAACGCCAACGGACTTGTTCGTGATGATGCTGGAGTCTGGAGAGACCAAGAGGGTCAAATGTGCAATGCGAGAGGCCAAAGGGTTGATGGAGATGGCAACATCATTCCACCAGCACCTTTACCAGTGGATGTTGTTGACCAGAATCCATCACCTGCACCGCGTGGTAATGTTGTGATCGTTCCACATCAGAGGAACGTTCCAGAGGAGCGGAATGTGAGGGAACCTGCACCTGCAGCTGGTCGTGGACGAACAATCAGAGATTACAACAGGCCTGAGCAGTTCTATGCAAATCGTTCTGCGATTCGCGCCCCTGCGTTTCAAAGGAACGATTTTGAGTTGAAGCCTGTGTACTACACTCTTGTGGGACAGCATCCTTTTCATGGTCACTCTCATGAGCACCCTATGGACCACATCGAGAGGTTTGAGGACTTGGTCACCAGCATCAAATACAATGGAGTGTCCAATGATTTCCTCCTCTGCAAGCTGTTTCCTTATTCTCTTGCTAGAGAAGCAGCTAACTGGTTGAAGCAGTTGGAGCCAGGATCACTCACTACTTGGGAAGAGACCAGGAATGCTTTCCTGCACAACTTCTTCGATGATGCTCGGTCTGAGGAATTGAGAACGAAAATTTCGACATTCTCTCAAGAACCAACTGAAGCGTTCAAAGCTTCTTGGGTGCGATTCAAGTCGTACCAGCGAGACTGCCCCCATCATGGCTTCAGCGATGTGCAGTTACTGGGTATCTTCTTTAGAGGTATTGACTGGAGGTATCAGATGGCACT